AATATCAAAATGCATTAGGTTTATTCGGTCAAATCAAAGGTACAGATCACTTTTTTGTGTGCTGGTGTTATCTGCAAAAAAGGGATTGTATTTGCTTAAGAGTGGGAGTAGGTACTTTTCCTGTTTCTGTTAATGCAATGCTACTATCAAAAATGATATGTACTCACTAAAACAAATGCAATTGATTTTTTCTTAAACCATTCCTAAAATATGTATAACTATTGTAAATAAAGGTTTACCATTGGAAATTATAATTATTGTATTGAATCAATATTTTTCAATTTATTAAAAAAAGCAAGTAGTCGATGAAACAGTACCGTATTACCTATTTGTTTTCTTTTTCTTATAAGAGTAGGTCCTACAAATCCCTCCCGTGTATATCCTCAGTCTCTTGAAATATTTTATAATCCCCTGATGGACACATCCATGGTATAGATCTGCCGCAGCGGGATTGGAACAAACACCTGAATAGCTAAACCCATTCAGTCTAATTCTCGAGTCGCATCTTTGACTCTTCGACTACCGTTTCTTCTATTACTCGTTACCAAATTTTAGAATATAACTTTATCAACATAATCTTTTAAAGTCTAAAAGTCATAGAGTCTTAAAATAATATTACACATCAAGGTTTCCTTTTTTTATACTGTATTTAGTTACTTTGACCTAAACGAAAAGTAAAAGAAACTCAGAAGACGAAAACATAGATTTTCGAAATTTTAACAATTTTTTAAAATTTAAAATATAAAATGATGTGTTTTTATATTTTGTATTTGTCTGCTTTTTTCAGTGTCACATTTTTTGGTTAGGCAAAACAATTTTCATAAAAATAACCCTTGACTGCTCCTATTGGCGCAAGTGTTCATTTATTTCACCAATTTTTAAATTTTTTCACAGATGGCAAAATCCCAAACAATTAAGAAAAAATGAAAACTATGCCAGAAATAAATAAATTCATATAATATCTCAACCAAGCACCTTAAATTATAAAAAAGCATATCATATTAAGGGTGAATAACAACTTATCTAAAAAAATTTGGGAATAGGTAATAAAAATGGAGTCAACGTTGTAAAAATAATATTTGTAAAATCCTTATAGTGTCCGAGAACAAAATTATAGAAATTGTAGTATTTACTACCCTTACATCGCTGGGCTACTGTAGTCTCTAGCGTCATTCTCGTTGTGCGCTGTATGCAATGCGCTCTCTCTCCACGTGGCACCAGACGATTCTGAAATACTAAAATTTTAGTGTTAACGTTTTTGCGATAGTGCTTGGTTAGTTTTTCAAGTTTCGAAAATGGCTTACGTATATAACAACTGGAAGTTGATGGATGGGTATCGTTTTAATTTATGGTAACAAGACAATATTTCTATTATGGTGAAGTAAGACAATATTTGTGTTAGTTTGTAGAAATTGGGTAAGACAGGCCCAAATGTGTTCACACGTCGGTGGACAAAATTTTTAACAGTTGTTGTAGCATCAGGTATATCAAATTATTAATTAAAACCGTAAATTCATTTTATTAATAGCGACAGAAGCAGTTGAATTTGCTGATGTAAAATAATTTCTTTCCTTGAGAAAGAAATTCTTTCAATTTTTTGTCTGTTCATTTTTTATTACACTTTGCTGCCGTGGACCAATTTCCACTGCCGTGCAGTAGTATGTATGTATGTCGGAGGGGTGGTGGAATTGTCTTCCACCACGGCACTTAGGCCTTATTAGGCCCCTTGTACACCCTCGTTCATTACTCGAGTACTTTTCTTCAAACCATCTTATTTACTACACGGATGGCTTGGTGGCAAAGTCTCGTACAGTTTATGTATGATAGCATGATCCTGAGTTACGGAGATTTATTGCTCTGCTCTCATTACCATTTATCGGGGACTACACGCGTGCGGCAAATGTTGGGCGACCCAGGTCTCTTGGTAGGCTGCCACAGCCACGTCCCCGAGCCTGCCTTAGGTCACCCGTCCAAATTCCAGCCCACGTCCGTGATGCTTGACTCGGCAGATCGAAATCCGCCGGCCAAGATACCCGGCCAGGCGGTCCCTCGTGCAGTAGTATATTTTTTAATCATTTTCTAACTGCTCTTAGTGCTCTTTTTGATTTTTTTGTATTTGTAAGAGTCCCCTGTACCTTAATTTTTTTATATATATAAGTTCTGAATAACCCTGTCAGGCAATCCAAACCAAAGGACATACAACAACTGCGGTATCTTAGCTGCTCTAACATCATTGAATTTTATTATGCCAACTGGCTCCCGATAAACAATTACACAGCCACACAAAAAAAGAAAAGTTGTCTGTACTTTTCATGCGACATCTGTTATCTGTAGTGTAGACCTCCTGATCACGAATCCGGTGTTATAATTGAGCTATCACATCACAGGAATTTAACCTCAAAGAACAGGTTAAAAATAGCAAAAATTCATGAAAAAGTGCTAGGAAATATACAAACATTATTTTTCTATATTCAAATGTTCATTTATATAGTTAAGACACCGCCCAACGTGAATCCGTGGTCAGTATAAATGCTTCTTTTTCTAACCTCAAAAATACGGGTCAATTAAGGTCAGATATCACGAATTTTCAACCAATAGCAGATTCGCGCCACGGGAGTTTTTTGTGTCGCTGATCACGGATCCGAGGTCAATTTTGCAAAATTCAAGATGGCGGATCTAAGATGGCCGACCAAATTTTCAAAAAATAACAGAATCGCAGCAAATTTGGTATACGGGGGTTTTAGGGGTCGCTGACTACGGATCCGAGGTCAATTTTGCAAAATTCAACATGGCAGATCCAAAATGCCTTACCAAATTTTCAAATAATAACAGAATAGCAGCAAATTTGGTATACGTGGGGTTTCGGGGTCGCTGATTACGCATTCGAAGTCAGAATTGCCAATTTCATTTTGTAATACTTTACTTTATAACCTGAGTACCCAATCATGTATTAATCTACTTTTTTTGGCTATATCTTGTTCTTTTTTCTGTAAAAGATCTATTCACGGGTTGAATTTTGTAAATCTGATTCGGATTCGTGATCAGTGACCTCGAAAACCCCCGTATACCAAATTTGGCGCGAATGTGTTATTTTTTGAAAATTTGGTCGGCCGCCATTTTGAATTTTGCAATATTGACCTCGAATTCGTGTTCAGCGACCCCGAAAACCCCCTTACACCAAATTTGATGCGAATCTGTTATTTTTTGGAAAATTGGTCGTCCATCTTGGATCCGCCATCTTGAATTTTGCAAAATTGACCTCGGATCCGTGATCAACGACCCAGAAAACCCCCGTATACCAAATTTGGCGCGAATTTGTTATTTTTTAAAAATTCGTAATATCTGACTTTAATTGACCCGCTTTTTCGAGGTTACAAAAAGAACCATCAATTCTGACCGCTAATTCACGTTCGGCGAGATCTTAACTATATAAATGAATATTTGAATATAGAAAAAAAAAAGTTTTTGTATTTTTCCCATCACTTTTTCATGAAATTTTGCTATTTTTAACCTGTTTTTTGAGGTTAGGAAATTCCTGTAATAGCTCAATTCTGACAACGGATTCGTGATCAGGAGGCAAAATACTACAGATAACATAGGTCGCATGAAAAGTACAGACAACTTTTCTTTTTTTGTGTGGCTGTGTTATCGCCGAGAATATTTTATACACAGAGCTCAAATGACTCCATCTATCCCGCTATGCCATTCTACTACCAGTAGGAAGCGACCTGCTAAAATTGCCAGGTATTTATTTGCACGATAGTCGCAAACTGGGTGAAAACAAAATGTTTTAAATTGCCAGTGTTGCGAGAAACAACTACTCCGCGAGCTGTTGTACTAGGTGTTGCGAATATAATTCATTGCCAGTTGGGGCATATAGCCCGCGGAGTAGTTGTTTCTCGCAACATCGCCGAGAATATCTTTATATTTTTTGCGTACATATAATGACTAATAATCACTAATCAGTCAGCTTTTCAATAATTGTAAAATATGAATTTTGCGACTACATGATCCCAGTGAAAATAATTTTACTGTTGTGGATTTATTAGTTTCTGGATTCATATTTCTCTGAGTACCTGAGAATTGTTATTAAGTATATGAGGCGATGTGGTACTATACAGGGTATTAATGATAAGTTTTTCTAAACTTTAATGGCGTAAATAATCAACGTTTGCCTTATAAAAATTTTTGATAGGACGCTTCCTTACGGAGATACAGAATGTTAAAAGTTTCAAATATTTATACGACTTTTCTTGAAACTTCACTTTCAAAAAATATTTAGTGATAAAATTTGGAGGATGACTTTTTTAGTAGGGGTTATTTTTTCATGGATAACTTATTCCAAAATACACTCCAGTGGTGTAGTTATTAGGGGAGTAGAGGACCTTTTTTGAAAAAAAAAATCGTCGCTACTGGTATTTTAAATAAATGATTTTAAGATGTACAATCAATTTGTGGCAATAAAATATTCTTGTAAAGTATTCGTAAAATTAACTTGTCTTTAGAGAATTGGGAAACAAATAAGAAGATGCATGGGTTTATTCTGGATTTATTAATTTACATATTTCAGATATAATAGTATATTACGTAATAAGTGTTGTAAAAAGCATTTTACGCACGAATGGAAAAGTTACGCACGACGCCACGTAGCGGCGAGTGCGTAATTCTATGAGTGCGTAATTGCATTACACCACGTATTACGTACTATACTTTACCTACGTCCACTACTAAACACACCGTCTGCGATCAATCTAAGATTCCTATTACGTACGGTAAAAAAATCACACAGCTTTCTTAGCAACCGCCTAGCAACGGTCAATACAAACAGTATTGTATTGACCGTTGCTAGGCGGTTGCTAGGAAAACTGTGCGATTTTTTTACCAAGCTGTGCGATTTTTTTACCGTACGTAATAGGAATCTTACATTGATCGCAGACGGTGTGTTTTTAAGTATTTACAGTAGTGGTCGTAGGTAAAGAGAATTATCACACGATCATTTTTGTATATTTTATTGAATGCAAAATGAAATATTATTATTGCAACTATTATCATAATAATTGTAATAAAATAAAAAAGCGCAGTATCTTTCACTGAACAAAGGGCTAGCAACAAATGAAGGTAAACAATTCTCAGACCAATATATAAAATAAAGTAATGTAGGCAAAATATAAAATACTGCACTCTTTTTTCCTTGGAAAATCCTGTACGACATCACAATACTGCTTCATAACAAAAATATCCCACTACATAGAAACAGTACTGATCGATCATATTCTATTACTTTTTGTTTTGTTAGGGTCTCTGGCATCCATCTAGTCCAACATCTTCCATTCTAAGTGTTTCCCAGTCTTTAACCACATATTTTTCCGTAATTCTTAGTGTGTACTTGGGACATTTATCCCAAGTAACTATTAAGCTATTTGGATAGACATTAAATAACACATTATCCAGCAAGCAGGAAAAATGTTTACCATATAGTGGATTAAAGAGTGGATGTGGGGTGAGCCATAAGCAAAAGGTATTGAAATCTAGTTTTGGTTTTACTAACTCGAATCTAAAACAAAAAAATCATAAAGTATGTAGTATCCGCCAAAAATTTGACAGCATATGTAAAACAAATTATTAACAAACTTTGATTTTCTTTTTAAATTGATGATAAAATCAATTTCCGATTGAAAATAATAAAGAAAAATAGCATTTTTTAATATGATAATAAATGCTTTACCTATATATTTATTTTTTTACGTATACTGTAGATATGTTAACATATTAGGAAAATACATTTTAAATTATCATATAGGATATGATTTCTAGTCTTCTTTTTCACAGTTTTAGGAAATAAACTCCTGACAAAGATATTATAGGTACTACTTGGTAGTGAACATAAAATATAAACGTTAAAATAATTACATTTCTTTAAAATTTACGCAACTATAATGCTATAGTAGACAAGCACAAATGTTGCAAATTCGGTGATCAATAACACATGCGTACAGCTTGTCTTTGATGTGTATGTGAGACTTCATTTCAGAACGCCAGGGACGGATTATGCCCAATGGTTAACAACCAAAATGACTTCCCTGAAGAATTTGCCAGCGATAATACCCTCTTGGTTCAACTCGGCAAAATTTATAGTTTAGGAAATATTTGTGATTTTATGTCACAGTGCATATCGAGCGGCGCCCCCACCATTTTTGTTTTTAATATTTAATTGAACATAATTACTGTGTTAGAACCATACATATTTTTAAAATAAGAGCCTAGAAAATTTTACTGTCTGCTAACGTAATTTTCACTAACAAAATTTGACAAACACTTTACACATAACATAAAAAAATAGAAAAACAAAACAAGAATAAGTTAAATTAACTTAAGTATTTAACTCCAAATATCGATATCCATTCAGACGTTTCTCAAAAACATATAGACCTATTACATTCTTACCCACTATTAATGTATGGGCAGTAATAGTGCGTAACAATTTAATAGGTCCATACGTTTTTGATGAACCTCTGAATGGGCAACAATAATTTATTTAATTAATTTAATAATAATTAGACGACGTTCCATTAGACATCCGAAGAAATGTTTGGTTAATGCACAATGGTGCTCTTCCCCATTTCAATATTGATATACGAAATTATTGTGTTTAATAATAAATGGATAGGAAGAGGAGGTCCGGTTTCATGGCCACCGCGTTCTCCAGGCTTTAGTCCGATGGACTTTTTCCTGTGGGGATACCTGAAAAATTTATTGTACTCAGCCCTAGTACAGACAAATATTGCATTGCATTGCTACAAAGAATTAATTTCCATTGTGATAATATTAGACATACCCCAGAAATGTTTTTTCGTGTAATAAACAAATAGCATTTGTACACTTAGGAAATGTGTGGAGGTGGAAGGTGCCAACTTTGAAAATGTATTTTGATAGTTTTCTTTCTTTTAAATTGTTTTTTTTTTAACTTATTTTAACTTATTCTTGTTTTGTTTTTCTATTTTGTATTATATGTAAAATGTGTTTGTCAAATTTTGTTAGTAAAACTTACATTAGTAGATAGTAAAAAAAAATAATGGAGGCACTGCTCGATGTGTACTGTGAAATAAAATCACAAATATTTTCTAAACTATGAATTTTACCGAGGTGAACCAAGAGGATACTATCGTCGGCAAATTCTTCAGGGAACTTATTTTTCATAAAGGTAGATTGCGATCGTCATCTATGCAAAAATTCTAGGTTGTTAATCATTGGGTATAGTCCGTCCGTATATTCCTCAGAAACAGGTCACGCGGAAATCTTTATTTGTTGGGTCAATGAAAGTAGAAGTCATCGGGTTCCTTACGATGTTTTCAAAATTAGCCAGTTTTATACAGGGTCCTGAAAAACTATTTGACAAACCCGAGGAAATTCAAAGGTGTGTAAATCATTTTTTTTTAATGAAACACCCTGTATATTTTCGCATTTCTGGATTCACTAAAAAAATCTACGTCAGTAGATACAAGGGTTGCTAGAGTTATTCTTGATGGTTTATGATTGATCACCACTTTTCTATTTAAAATGCGAAAAATCACGTTTTGTGTAAGAAACTAATAGTTACCTATGAAAACAAAAGCCCTGTCAAAGCACCAAAAAAAATCACTGACGTTTCTGTATTCTTAAAAATGGATGAAGTGAATAATTATTCGAACAGTGATATTTTAAACTTATTCTTTATTCATGGCGAATGTAACAAGGTTCTGAACAGGACAAGACGCACATTTAATGAAAGATTTATTTACCAGTACCTAATGACAAAAAAGAAATTTAGGAAGATTGAATCAAACTTTTTACGTTTTGGGAAAGTAGCAACGTAGATTTTTCTAGTGAATTCGGAAATGCGAAAATATACAGGGTAAATATACATTTAAAAAAATGACTTACACACGTTTGAATTTCCTCGGCTTCTCAAATAGTTTTCAGGGCCCTGTATAAAACTGGCTAATTTTGAAAACATCGTAAGGAACCCCATGACTTCTGCTTTCATTGACCCAAAAAATAAAGATTTCCGCGTGAACTGTTTCTGAGGTATACAGGCTGTTACGAATTCGCTTCTCACTACAGGGATCTCGGAAACGGTAAGAGCTACGAAGTAGCTTAAATGGGGGCAAAGTTGCGTAATCAGGAGACCAACAATATGCCTCTAAAAAATCAAAGCTAACATGATTAGTTTTCGAAATATTTGAAAAAAAAACTGAACTTGAAATTTTGGAAATCCGTTTTTGTTTAATTTCAGCCTTGTTTGAGGAGATATTGAAAAACGAAGAACACTTTCTCATGGCCACTTTTTGTCCTCTATCGAATGGCATAATCAATTTTTATATGTAACGTTTCGTCTCTCCAGGACCATCATCAAATTCATTATTTTAAATACGACCCTGGAAATTTTATTACATTTTTTGCAATCCTTTATGACCCCCAATACTGTACTGTACTGCCTCAGCCCTAACCAGATTCAGACGTTTTGTCTCGAAAAATTCATCTTCAGTGTATTCGTTCAAAATGTATCTAATTTTTTTATTTAGATTTCTTTGTTTATTGAATTATCGTTCACTGTAAGTGTCGTTAGACCCTGTGAAATCCATCTAGTTATTTAAACTATTACCACCACGCGCTACAATAGAACATTTATTATTATTATCTATTACCATCACTTGGTCATACATAACTCAATAAGTTGTTGCATCAAAATTAAAATATTCTTACAATTTTAATTTTATTATGACAAATTAATTCTTAAAAATGCATATGAACAACCAAAACGCCAACTGAACATTATTCTTTAAAAAATTTCAGTAAATGTTTTGTTTTCTTTTCTGTTTTGGGAAAGGATAAAAATGAAGATCAGCATAATATTATCGGAATTCATTATATCTGTAACTGGAACTGTGAAAGAGCATGTCAGATGTACTCGTATTTGTATGAATATCCTGAAATAAATAGATCGGAATTTGTTTGAATTTTGAGCACTCGAGAACCCTAGAAATAAGTATGAGCGCGGGATTAAAACTAATAATGTTTTATTTTAATGCGTGGTGGTAATAGTTTGAATAACTAGATCGATTTCACAGGGTCTAACGACACGTACAGTGTACGATGATTTAATAAACAAAGAAATCTAAATAAAAAATTTAGATAAATTTGGAACGAATACACTGAAGATGAATTTTTCGAGACAAAACGTCTGAATCTAGTTAGGGCTGAGGCACTACAGTATTGGGCATCATGAAGGCTTACAAAAATGTAATAAAATTTCCAGGGTCATATTTGATGATGGTCCTGGAGAGACGAAACGTTATTACATATAAAAAATTGATTATGCCATTCGATTGAAGGCAAAAAGTGGCTATGAGAAAGTGTTCTTCTTTTTTCAATATCTCCTCAAACAAGGCTGAAATGGAACAAAAACGGATTTCCAAAATTTCCTTTTTTTGTCAAATATTTCGAAAATTAATCATGTTAGCCTAGATTTTTTAGAGGCGTAATGTTGGTCCCTTGATTACGCAATTTTGCCCCCATTTAAACTACTTCGTACCTCTTACCGTTTCCGAGATCCCTGTAGTGAGAAGCGAATTTGTAACAGCCTGTATAATTTTGAAGCCAACAGTGCTGCATGTATTTTTTTAAATCGCATTATCTTGAAAACGGCTAATTTTAAATATGGAAACGTTTATACAAATTTAAAACAACAAACTTGGTGGCAACTTCCTTTATAAGCGGGAATGTAGTTTTGAAAATATATTCATTGAAAAGTTCATGGGCGGTAACCTGGATATTCAAATTTTCAACAAAATCCCACCATGATAAATAATTTACATCATAATGTTTTCATTTTCTTTAATAGTATAGCTTATCTTGTCTTATCATTTCGCTTCTACTTCAACTTTCATTATATCTTTTCATAGGAAATCTGTCAAAACTGTATTGAAATATCTCTATCTCTCATATTTTTGTTTGTTTGTAAAGAACAATTTATAAACTTACCTTAACTGGCACTTGATTACATTATCCTCAAAGTCATCTATGGCATCTATCCAACAATTTTTTGTTTTAAACTTCAAGTAGATTTCATACATTTTTGAATATTTATAATCCGCACATCCTGCAGAATTAATGTACAGGATTTTTGAAACTTCTTTTGAAATAATCATATGCAAGTCCTATAAAAAAAAAATATTAAAAATATTTACAAAATCTATTCTTCTTCAAACTTATTGCACCAGAGAACTTATATATAAAATAAAAATTAAATGTGGTTTATTTATAAAAAAAATTATATTACTTAGTTCACAATAAAGTAACAAATAATGACCCATATTTTAGTTCAAGTTCCAATAAATGTGGACGAATTGCCTATGTTTACAATCTTATTTTTTTTTTAAATTTTATCGTATTATAAATCAATGTTTTGGATTCCAAAGTATTAAAATTGGTACGGGGTCTACGAATATTACAAATATCCGCACTCATTGCGCATCAACGAGATTTCTTTGAGCAATTGTTATTTACCGATCGTGGATACTAACTATAGAAAAAAAATACTTACAAAAGCAACATAATAATGGTATTTAACTGAAAAATAATTTCTACAAATTATGCCACGGTAACGTTGCAATAAATCATTTATAATTTTACTGATCAAAACAAACACCATTGAAAATATGGACTCCAAATACTATAATTCCGCCATACTAGATGAACAATTTTCAACCAAAACTTTTGTCTCTGTTTAATTCTTTTCGTATAATGCACAGCTGAAAGTTAAAAAAACCGCAACAATTTTGATTCTGATCAATATAGATAAAAGCCACAATAATTTTAATTCCTGCAAAATTTGCACATATTTGAATGAAATATAATCAGCTGATATAATCAACCTTTCCATAATCGCATATTTCTAACCTTAATTTAGAAATTAGAGCAAAATAAGTATTCTATGATCCTCGATGTTGATGAGCCGCTAATATTCTCATACGTTTTGTACTTTTTTCGGCAACAACGCATTCTACAAAAAAAATTCAAAGAAGCATAGAGGTTCTGATTGGAAATGGCCCATGCAGTTATGTAAAAGAAGATTCTTTTTTGAAATCCTTCAAATCCCTACTAATTCTAATGCCATTTTCAAATTTTACATCAAGGTAGCTGCTATGAGAAAACTACTGTGCTGTGCTTTAGTTATAGCAGTAATAAGAAACTTTAGAAATCTTTTTAGGAAAAATGATTCTTATATTTTTTTTAATTAAAAACACTATAAAACTAAATAAAACTATATAAACAACACATATTTAAAAATTGATGACATTTCGAAACGACTGTCAAAAGCGTAAAATATGACAAGATTGATAAATCGAAGAACATTGACTTCGTTCGATAAGATCTTTAAAAAACAAGCTTAAATATGATCGAACTGAATGCCTTTGAAATAGATTAAAAAATATGAGAGCAAATAATAATAATTAGACATGTTTTTTTGAAAATATTACGTATTTACAATTGTTACCGTGAGAGTTATATTTCCATTCCCTTCTTTAAAGTTAACCGACTCGTTTATTGGGCGATCTAAATCGATCCATGATAAACCTCCTGGCATGTGGGGACAATTGATGTTGAATATATTACATATACAAATGCTATCTCCTGTCTCAGTTTGATAAAGCGGCCAGTATGCTGTATTGACCACATATGCTGTTGGCAACAGTTGGTCCAATATGTCCATGAGCTGGTCGGAAAACAAAAAAATATATATTTGTATAATAACGAACTAATTGTACAACTTGGATTATTTTACACGGATATGAAATGATGAAATAATAAATAGTAATTCGATAACTATAAACTATGTGTCGGTATCCACTCCTCAATATCACTTATTTTACCACGTAGTACGCCTCTATCGCACTCCCAGTGCACAAGGTTTAAAGATTAAAATTCCCTTTCCCCTCCTACCTATATCAGCCTACTTCGCCCTAGTGTTCTCATTCGTCGCTTTGTGCTCTTGACATAAGGTTCGTCGCCACGTCAAACTTAGTAAGTATATTAATACTGGTCAGCCATTAAGTTTTATTACAGGTTTTTTAGTAATGTCGGACTCAAATAACTGCGAGAAAAACATTTCGAAGAAAGATCTCTTAAGGAGACTTAAAAAATTGGAAAGTAAATATCAAAACGTCAAAAGCCGTCATAGAGGTACGTCACATCCTAAAAGTACAGAACGCTCTCGCTCTCGCACCAGTCATAACACACGCAACAACAAATAAAGTAGAAATTATCGCAGCCCGAGCGGCTCGGAATCTCACCACAGGGATAGCAGTCGTTCAAGATCATTAGAACAAGCACCTACAAGTAATAGGAAACGGCAGGCTTTATGCAGCGATCGCCGTCATCCTGGCGATACGGGGTCTCGTAAAAATAATGCAGATCGAGCCTCGCACGACCCGACAAGCATTTTATCTATAATAGATGATCATAGTCCGTGCGATATGACATCAAATAATATTGAGTTGGGTTTAGGTGAAAAACTCGACGAGACAGATCAAATAGGTAACACATCGGAGACAGGGGAAAATTCTCCGATTTTACAACTTCACAATAATAAAGATATACCGGTCGAGTTTCTAGAAATACTGGGCGACGACCCAGAAAAACACAAAAAATCAGATTTCGTGATGCACCCCGCTTGGTGCAGCCGTTGGGGCCACATTATTAAAAACGGACTGATACTTTCTGAAAAAGAAAAGTTGACAGTGCGCTATCCGTTACCTAGCAATTGCAGTTCTCTCAATCCTCCAAAGGTAAACCCCGAAATTAAACATATATTATCAGTAATAATGTCCAAACGAGACAACGCATATACCTATAGACATTCAGTCTCAAATATGCACGGGTATATCGGCCTTGGCAAAAGGCCTAAACGAAGTTCTGGAGGATAAGGAAAATATTCCTAGGGAACAAAAGAGTAAGCTTTTTCAATACCTAGGAGATTCAGGTAGAATTTTGTCACATTTAATCCATAATATTACACACATTAGACGGGCATTAATAATGCCTAATTTAAGTAAACCTGTCAAAGAAATGGCAGAAAAAATTTCCCCCACAGAACACCTTTTCGGTGACGAATTAGGAGAAAAATTAAAAAATATGAAATATTTAGAAAAAGCTAGTAAGGAATTGAAGCTTGACCAACCTACTACATCTGGTGCAAATTATCAGAATTTTGCCAAAAAATATAACAGGGCAAAAGGAGGGGCAGAGGGACAATCTCACCACTACAACAATTGAAGGGGCAAGTGGATGAATGTGTTATGTTACAATTTCTGAAAAGTTGAGATATTCGGTTGAAGAACATGTTTTGTATCACTGTATTGAATCACAGACCTTCATAAGTATACTGACACTTTGTCATGGATTTTTAGAGTGGATGAACGTATTATATGATAAAATTTACTTAAAATTAAATTACTTAAAATCGATTTTGTGAGAACAACCGAGATATTAGCTAATTGTGACATAACACATTCATCCACTTTCCCCTTCAATTATTTTGGCACAGCGTTAAACAAGAGACGCCTGGCCTGCCAGCAGAGGGAAGTGAGGCCACAAAAAGGGCAAACCTCAACAGTTCAGCATTACAATCAGAGTAAATACCAAAACAAATAGAGAACTCCTCTTCAAAGAAAGCCACCAAAACAGATCCTCTCACCAGAGGTAACTCGGTTAATGAACATATCAAATCGGGATTTACTAGAGATTGGTGCAATTAATAACTGTAAGCCATGCATCAATCAATTTGTTTCTAATATTTTTCTTAGAGACATACCAAATGGTAAGGAAAGGTTCATCCTAAACCTAAAACAATTAAACACATTTGTCGACAGTCCCCATTTTAAAATGAGGATTACAGAACCGCCTTAAGACTTATCCAGCAAGGCAATTTTATGTCAACGATCGAACTTAAGGATGCATATTATTTCATTCCTATATGCATAGAGGACGGAAAATATTTAAGGTTCCAATTTGAACATAATTTATTTGAATTTACTTGTTTACCTTTCGGCCTGTCGTCAGCACCATATAGTTTCACAAAATTGATTAAACCTATAGTAGAAAAATTAAGGAAGTCAGGTATTACCTGTGTAAATTACCTAGACGACTTCTTAATATTGGGGAACACAGGGGAAGAATGTGGCAGAACTCTTTTATTTGGTGTAAAACGTTTATAACCAATATTTAAATTATCAAAAATTATTAAATTTTCTTTCACAGAAAATATTCAAAATCAAGATAGTATCAAAAAATAATAATAATAATATGTATATAACTGTGTACGTACGTATACATGTAAATGTGTGTATATATTATATGTATATGTATGTAGATATAGGTGTATACATACAATGAGAACAGCAATAATCGCAACCATCTCTGAACATCTACGTGGTAAAATAAGTGATATTGAGCATTGGACACCGACACATAATTGGAGATCAAACGAACTTACTTGTAAGTGAAGTAAGTGAAGTTATGTGAGGTGTCCAATCCGAAGATATCACTTCCCCCCACCCAATAATATGTTAAGTATAACATCATCCCGGATTGCGATTATTCTTATATTCATTATCCATATTTAAACAGAATGAGAACAGTAGGGCGCAGTAGGCTGATGTAGGTAGGTGGGGAAAGGGAATTTTAATCTTTAAACCTTGAGCACCGGGAGTACGATAGAAGCGTACTACGTGGTAAAATAAGTGATATCTTCGGATTGGACATCTTACATAATTACGATCGAACTTCACTTACAGGTAAGTTCGTTTGATCTCCAATTTGGTAATTATAACTACATCCACATGCAGTCTTAAAAAATAATTATAATCATAGCAAAATATGATTGCAAACTGAGATATAAAATGCTATACTAAAAATGATATGCGTATTTAATTTTATGATTTCGTCAAGTACCTGTTAAATTTATTTAGCTAGTCTACAATTTTCCGTAGGGCTTTGTCGCATAACGGTCTAGACACACATCGAAGACGGACACGGGACAGCTGCAAGACGAGTGTCCTACGAGATTCCTACGTTTCCCGTTCCGTAGATATTGAGATCACACCACGACGAGACACATATGCATACGACTCATGGCAGTGTGCTTTGAGTGTTCGTATGTGCTGTATCTAAAAATGTTTTCAAATTTTACAAATACCTGTTGCATTAGCTGGTAGCTAACGAATAAGAGGAAAAATGTAGAAGTGATAAAAAATATCGACAATCTGATGACAGCTCCAATCGAGCAACCGAGCTGTACGTGTTTTGTGCAGTTAAGCAGTGAGTGATTAATGCGAGGAACAGTGAAGTGGAGACCCCACAAAAAATTATGCCTTTATTAAGGCCACCCAAATATAATTATTTCCATTTGTTATTATTTATAATCGACATAATCTCAGGACAGATAGTCCAGGAGCCTAAAGACAGGCCTTTCAAGACCTAGAGAGAACGTCAGCAGAGCTGCACCAGGATCTGCTCCAGGCCCTCAAGGCTCAACAGCCCCCCGAATTAAGAGTGGCAAGCCAGGAGACATCAACATGCTCACAAAATGAGCCCCAGAGACATCGAGGCAGGCGTGCCCCAAGGCCCGTACTATCACCACACCTATTCAACGTCTATACATCCGATATGCCTAGGACAGAGCCCACGACTTGTGCCTCTACGCTGATGACACGGCTATCGCGGTCCGTTCGCGGAACTCTAAGATGGCGAAGATATAGCGAAGAGAGCCGGCAGCCGACTGGAGGACTGGTGCAACAGATGGAAGGTGGCAAATAAAACGGAAAAAACACAAGTATTACGTTTTCCCAGGTACCGCATGCGTTTCCAGGGACACGTGAGGCCCAACAGGGAAGACATCTAGTGGGCAACCAACGTCAAGTATCTAGATCGTACGCTGACATGGAGCCGCACGTCGACGCCGTGGTACACAAAACAAGAACCATGAGGGCGATGATGTATCTGATTTTGTGCGAGGACAGCCGTCTCTGCCTACGGAATAAGCTAACCCTTATCTGCCCAGTATTGAAGCCACAGCTGACTTACACTGGGACCCTGCGAAGACGCACCTAGCCTTGGTGCAAGCCGTCGAGAAGTTCGCACTTTGTCGCGAGACAGGGGGCCCCCTGGTACATCCGCAACAGCGTCAATGGTCGGGATCTGGGATTCACGTCAGCCCTGGAAGCGATCAGACAGGGCATGATAAATCTTTTCGAGCTCGCCGAGATCCACAGCAATCCGCTGATCCGGAACGTGGCGGACTACCGAACCAAAGAGGCTGTCGGCAGATGCAGGCGAACCAGACACCAACTCCTGGAAGCAGGCTGAGTCGAAATGTTCTGTTTTTCTGTCTGTTTCAGGATAGTCGGGATCAAGAAACGAAAACGACACACATACATACACTCCCTCTCAACCTACCTTGGAGCTACCATATATCCTCCGGCGCCAGGGTCACCTTAACAGTGCGCTTTCAGATTCATAGCCTCACGACCTCACCCAAACCTACCATCCAGATGGCACGAGTCGTCCGCGATCAATGTACGACACTCCCGAGGGTTTATACATACGAGCCGGCGAAGAAAGAAAAGCGCCAGAGAAACGGCCCCAGCGGGGCGGCGAGTCCTAACTAGGACAGGAGAAAGGACGTGCCTCTACTAGGCGTCCGGGCCTACAGAGATG